CCAACAACCTGACCAACCAGCTGACAGCCAAACTAATCAACCAACAAGAGCAGCTGACCAATAAACCAACCGACCTACTGACCAACTGACCAATCAGCCAAATAACTGACCAATCAATCAAATATGACAAATGCTGAGTACAAAGCAAAAAGATGGAAACATTATGGCTTGGTCAGAATGACTTCCTCACCATGGGGGTGGGGTGGGGGTCAAAGGACAGGACTGTAAAATCTTAGACATGAACCTTCTTCCCTGAGCCAGGACAATGAAAATGGGTCACGGATGAGTTTTCAAGCATGACCCAAACAGAATGCTGAGGCTACAAAAGAGGATGAGGGTCACCAAGTGGTCTAACTAGTCTCCAGACCTCAGTCCTGTAGAACAGGAGCTCAAGCAGCTAGGTGTCAAGTGGAAGCCAATAAACCTAAAAGAGATGTAGAGTTTCTGTGAAGAGGAGTGATCCACATTCGCTCCTGAGATGTGTGTAAAACCCACTGACTGACTACAGGAAGCATCTTACCACCCTGCGTGCCAACAAAGGCTTCTCAACCAAGAACTAACACAAGTTTTGATTCAGAAACAAATACTTGTTTCCCTCAATGACATAAAAATCAGTTTATAACTTTTATGTTTATGTAACATTTTTCTTTTCTGGATTTTAAATAGGTATTTTGTCTTGTTTCATTAAAATAAAACCATGAAAATCAGACTAGATTTGATTATTTTTGTAAAATTAACAAAATCCGCTTGGGATCAAATGATTATTTCCCACTATATCAAACACTAAAAATGATCAGATAAGAAAAATAATAATAATTTATGTTTCTCTTAAGGATCTTATCACAGAAGAGGCCAACAAGCCGCAGGTTTTTCCCACTTTATTCCCATATGAGTCCAGCAGCCTGGGCCAGGAAGATGAAGAAATGAGCTCTGAGGATAACTCTAACACTAAGAAGGACGATGAAGAAGTGACCAAAAAGAAAATGGGAAGCACTGCAGTCTTGTTGAGTGAGGAAGAACTGGTGGACCTCCTTGAGAAAGAGGCAAAAGAAGAGGAGGAAGCAGAAGAAAGAGAGGCTGCAGGGGCCACAGAAGATGAAGAAACCTTCAGGGAGGACAAGATGTTGGCTGACAGCTTGGAGGCAGAGAAAGATCACATGGAAAAGAGGGATGATGTTAAAAAAGAAGAAGAAGAGGAAGAGATCATGAAAGTGTCTCTTGATCAAAAGGTGGAAAAGGCTGCAGGCATGATGACCACCAGAACTGAGCAGGTTGGATTGTTGGAGGAAGCAGAGGGCAGCACAGACTCAGAACTTCCTGTTGACCTTGATTATGCTGCTGATGGTCAAATCCTCCATCCTCTGCAGGCTGAATCAGCGATAGTCAACCTCACTGCACAGGATCTTCCAGGTGTCAAAAAGGAGGAAGACAATGAAGAAGAGCAGCTCAGTCCAAATGATGGCAATGATCCAGACACGCAGTCCTCGGAGGCAGGAGTCCATGAGGAAATGTCACATCAGCACCAAGAGTCATCACTCAAATCTGAAGAAATAAACATCAGCAAGAGAAAAACTGAAGCACACGAGGATCGGCAGGAACTAAAGAGCAGCACAACACTTACAGCAGCTTCACACATGTCTGAAAAAGAGGAAGAGAAAAGCAAGAACGAGAGTGAAGCTCCAACAGAGAGAAAGACGAGGAGGTTGAAGAAAAACCAGAGATCCAAGAAGCACTCCCCTCAGAGGAACGAAACACTTCCTGCACAAGAACAGAACCAACAAGAACCTCAGGAGTTGGAGGTCAGCAGCACTGAGAGCCCAGGCCTAAAGACAAAGAAGAGACGGGCAGGAAAATGGGTAATGCATCAGAACATCTGCGTCTTTTTTCAAATAGATATTTTCCAAGAGTGCTGTTTTACCATTTCTTACATTGCAAAGACAAGAGAGTGACATTTACTACACAAGAAACTAAAAGTTCCCTCAACAAGGAATCTAAACCAACTAAAAACATGAAGCGTGTAAATAGACGGTGCTTTCCATCTGATACAAAACTTGAAGTTAGTTAAAACAAAAGTGTGATTGGAGGCAAATAAAAAGTTATTGCTGATTATGGAATAAAAACACCTGTCAATATGAGCTGTGCCGAAGATGAATCAAGTTCATGTTTCTTTATTGTCATTCACATCACATGTGGTACATGAGGTGAAACGAAATTGTGTACTCAAGGTCCCAATTAGAGTCAGAGATTCTTTATTATCGTTCGCACCACATGTGGTACTTGTGGTGGAACTAAATTATGTACACAGGGTCTCAGTTACATCCAACAATAAAAACGTAAAAGAAAAACAATAATAATATCTAAAATGTGAACTAAGAAAAACATCAACTAAAACTATACTAAGCACTAATAGCATAAAAACAATATGTCGAACAGCAGCACGAACAATAGCATGAGTCTGTGTGAACACATCAACATTGAAACAGATCAGCAGCAACATGAAACAGATCAGCAGCAACATGATGTGTTTTTTTTTTCACAGTGATTATTCTGGTTAGAGATTCATGAGTCTAACAGCCTCAGGGTAGAAGCTGTTCCTCAGCCTGGTGGTTCTGCACTTAATGCTCTTCAGCCTCCTGCCTGATGGGAGTGGGGCAAAAAGTGTGTGTGCTGGGTGAGTGAGGTCCTTCATGATGCAGGTGACCCTCTTCCTGCATCTGGAGGTGTAGATGTCAGTGATGGTGGGGAGGCTGACTCCAACAGACTTCTGTGCAGCCTTCACCACTCGCTGCAAAGCTTTTCTTTCTGCAGCTGTGCAGCCTCCATGCCACACGTTGATGCTGGAGCACAGGATGCTCTCCACTGCACACCTGTAGAAGGAGGAGAGGACTGAGCTTCCAAGACCAGCTCGTCTCAGCCGCCTGAGGAAGTAGCGTCTCAGATGAGCTTTATTGATCAGGCTGGAAGTTACATCCAACAATAGCAAATATATAAATAGTAAAAGAAACAGATATATACTAAGTATGAAAAACTATGTATAAACTAAGTATAATACAGCCTCCTCTTTCAGTATAATGTCTCAGTTTACAAATATTCAAGTTGTGAGAAAAAAGTTCTCTAAATCTACTACACCTGGGTTATAAGCAGCAATATCTGGTCAAATGAGACGCTAGGCAGAAAAAAGATGCCCCAAAATGCATCATAAGGCAATATAATTTTTAGCGCAACAATCAACACATTTGTTGTCTTTATTTTACCATCATGTTTACAACATGTTTAACCAGCAGTTTCTGAAAGCATTTAGCAAGGATGGAAACTTTGGTCTCCTAATATTCTTTTTGTTAAGATTCGGCAGACAGAAACAATGAATATAAAAGGTTTGGAAATATTACTTTATATCACATAAAGAATTGTCAATATTTCTCCAAAAGTCAACAAATGTGTAAAGAAAAACAGGGTCCCCAGAACTGCGTCCTGTGGGACACCGTTAGGCTGTGGAGGGACAACCAACTGAAAGCTGAAGAGCATGGAGAAGAAACCTGCAGACATCTCTACAACCGTGGATTTCTACTCCAGCGTCTAACCTGCATATTGTTGCTGATCCTGCTTGGTGCTGCTGCAATGTGACAATCTTCTAAAGATGTTTTTGTCCCATGTCTCACAGAATTTGTATCTTTTTTCTGCACTTTTCCAGGGTCCTTTAGTTGGTGTGAATCCTGTTCAGATCAGAGCTTCGGTGGATTTATATCCCAAGACTTCTTTTGGCAGAGACGAACGCCTCACAAAAACACCGACTGGTTAGTGTTTATTTGGATTCATATGAAGACTGAGGAGCTGGAGTTAGAGACTGTCAAGCAGGACAAGAATACAGCCTCAAATATATGTAAATATTGCTTTAATATTGAAAACATTTAATTAAAGTTTAAAAAAAGAACAAACACTGAATATCAACCACAACAGTGCAAAGATCTCCTGATGCATGCTCAATAATCCAGGTAGAAAAATCTAAAAAAGTTAAATCTGGTCCTCTGGACATTAAAAATTTTTTAATGTCCAGAGGACCAGATTTAACTTTTTTAGATAGAACAGTGCTAAGAGTTTAATCATTACTTTAGCTTGTGTAAAGTTATTTCCAAATTAAAAAAAATATATATTGCACCATAAATACACAAAGAAGAACATGGAATAACTGGAACACGCAACAAAAATCAATACTATACTCTTAAATATACATTTAAAACTATACACGGTTTCATTAAAATAAATCAGATCATGGTCAAGTTTGGAGATCTAAAATTTCCTGATGACTTTAAACAACTTTTGGCAAACTGTAAGCCAAACACAAAATTTAAGAATTTTAAAATACAAAATATAACTTGAAATGCAAACGGTTTGAAACAGAAATATACAGTATGTAATGTTGGAGGACAAGTTCTGTCCTGAGCTGTGAGACTTTATTTTTGTCTTTTCGAGGTTTGAACACCTTCCATCGTCTCTGGTCGTACTGACTAACATCCTATCTCAACAGTCCCACGGGGGGAATTTGCTGACCGGATCATTTTGTTCAAACTTATGCATGAATAGTGCCCACACTGCTTCACAGTCACTACCAAAACACAGCTCTGCAGGCTTAAGGAGTGAAAAAGAGAGATCAGGCTGAATGTAACCACTGCACCAGCTCTAATGGAGGAAGAATGTAGAGGATGAGGTGGTGTGGCTGAAGCTCTAGTTCCAGAAGAAAAAACTAAACCAGTCAAGATAATAAACCTTTTATGTGAGTTTTAAAAAGATTGATATGGAAATCATTGTTTTGCCTTATTTATTAGATCCATGCGACAGTTTCCGTTGCAAGCGTGGGAAAACATGTAAACTTGCTGCAGATGGTAAGCCCGAGTGTGCGTGTCAACAACCATCAGAATGTCGGCCCAGCATTAACGAGTTTGATCATGTAAGAGCAACATGAAAACATTTCGCATGCAGAGTGAAAACTCGGTATTTGAACTTTTTTATTTATTTATTCAGGTTTGTGGGACAGACAACAAAACGTACGATACGTCATGTGAGCTCTTCGCTACCAAATGCAACTTGGAGGGCACAAAGAGAGGCCACAAACTTCATTTGGACTACACCGGCCCGTGCAAATGTAATTTACTCAGATCGTGTGGTTCAGGAAGGATCTTTAAATCGTGTCCAGAGGAAACATTTAACCGTCTTCTTCCCTCGCAGTGATACTTCCATGCGTGGACAACGAGCTGGTCCAGTTTCCCCTACGAATGAGGGACTGGCTGAAAAATGTGCTGCTACAGCTTTATGAGCACGACTCCTCGAAACCTGGGTTCCTCACATCGAAACAGAGATTCAGAGTAAGACTCAAAACCTGTGAGATGGTTCAGAACTTTAGAAGGAAGCTTCTAGTGGAAAGAACAATTTGAAAATTTCCCAAGAAATGTTCAACGATGCCAACGCAGGTGTCCAGCCAGTGAGCGCTTCTTGTTTTTGTGTTATCCAGGTGAAGAAAATCTTTGAGAATGAGAGGCGCCTTCATGCTGGAGATCACCCTGCTGAACTGCTTGCGCAGGACTTTGAGAAGAACTACAACATGTACATCTACCCCGTGCACTGGCAGTTCGCTCAGCTGGACCAGCACCCGTCAGACAGGTACCTTTAAATTCTAATAGAATACTTAAACCAGGGGTGTCCAAGGTGCAGCCTGAGGGACATCCGTGATCCTTGGAGTGATTTTGTGTTGCCCACGACTGCATTTTAAAAATGGTACAATTTTGGCCTGAAGACATGAAGTTGGTGCAGATGTAGACCTTCAGCTAATTTAATGGTGAGACTTTTTTATACATCATTTTTAGGTTTAACATCAAAACTGATCAAACAAATCTCTCAAAATGAACAATTTTTAAATACAATACAAAACCTTTGGGCTATAATTAATTTTGTTTTCTTTCCATTTCATGGAACAAAGCACTACAAACCTTTACCAACTTCTTCCTAAAGCTAAAGGATAATCATTCATAAATTTGAATAATATAAGAAGTGTTGACAAATAAATTAATTTCCGTTGTTTAACAATAAATATTGGGTAAATCTGACATTTTAAAAGGAATATAAAGTGGTATCATCTGCATACAAGTTGATCAACTTTATTACTGTCCTTTCAAATCTGTTTTAGTGACAGCCAGCTGGACGATTCTTCTGAACTTCAATCAGCCTTTTGGGCCGTTCATGGTCCAAAAGGCTGATTGAAGTTCCTTAATTTGACTTTTTTAAAGAACAGCTACTCATATGATTCTTTTGTTTCTGAGAACAGACTTAAATGAAAGTTCCAAGCACAAGAAAACAAAAATCAGTAGAACCAGCAAATCAAACTAATTAAATCCTTGAATATAATAAGGTTTATGTTTTTGAAGCTTTTAATGATTTGGATCTACAACAGAACTCCTTACAAACACCTTCTCCTTTAAAACAAGTAAACTTTTGTCCTTTCTCCAAAATATGTTTCACATTGTTGTTGACGCCAAATTCATGCTCAATAATCCAGGTATAAAACCCAATAATTTTCAGTCAGTTTCTTCTTTTGTGCTGAGACGTTTCACCTTCCATCCAGAAGGCTCCATCAGACTGAGGAAACTGGATACCTGGATTATTGAGCATGGACTTTGGTGTTTTGAACCATTTTGACATGACTGTCGATGAGGGAGAGGGCAGGCACCGGAGGAGAGGGCGTGCTCCAGAAGCCATCTTCGCACCAACATAATGTTTTTTTCCACTTTGGAGTAAGCTGCTGGGGGAGAAGCAGTTTTGCTTGGTGTTTCCTCAGACTGATGAAGCCTTCTGGATGGAGGGTGAAAAGTCTAAGCACAAAATTAAATTGTCCAGATGACCTGACTGAAAATTGTTGGATTGTTGTTGACGGTTAAAAAAAAGAAACAATCAAATCATAAAAAATATGTACTTTTTAAACTTAAATTCTAATTTTTGATGCCCACACGGGCTTTATTCTTGACAGATTTGCCCCCCAAATGAAAACGTTTGGGCACCCCCGACTTAAACTGTCTTTACAAACTGTTGGCTTTAGACCCCAGTTTAAAGTGCAACAATAACTGTTTCCCCAGTAACATTCATCCTTAGGATTCTTTATTCTGAACTCGGTGTTTAGCTTTTGATTATAGAACAACCACGCCTGTCGCCTCACAGAACTTTACTGAACTTCCTGGGTTTGACCCCTGCTGGGGCCTTTCTGTGGTGACTTTGCTTGTGTGCTATATGCACATGTGGGTTTTTCTGGATGCTAAAGTTTCTGTACAGTCCAAAAATGTGCATGTTAGGCAAAATGGGTACAAGTGTGAGTGTGGAAGTTCATCTTCATGTGGCCTTGTGATGGGCTGTTGACCTGTCTGGGGTGGGCCCAGAACTGAACAGGAACACGGGGGCATAAAAAATGAACATGCATGCTTTTAAGGGTTGTATTTAACTACGATTTAACTGTCATGGCCGACAGTTTGACTCTCTGTCATCCATTGTGGCCACAGTGGTAAAAAGCCACTCTTGTCTGATCATTCTGTGCAGGTTCTTGTCCCACTCGGAGTTGGCCCCGCTCAGGGTCCCTCTTGTGCCGATGGAGCATTGCACGTCTCGTTTCTTCCAGGAGTGCGACGCTGACAAGGACAAGCAGGTGTCCTTCAAAGAGTGGACCTCCTGCTTCGGTATCAGAGCTGGTGAGAAAAGCTTAATCTTACTGTTGCACAAAACTCTCCCGATGTATAAACACATTCAGAGATCATCAAAGAAAACAGGTTCAACAAAAAAACTGTGTATATTTTGCTTATCATTTTTTCTAATCCATTTGTAATGAATGAAAGACGTACACGGTTCAAGCTCTTTTTCATTTAACGGACAAGTCATGCAAATATTTCAAACATTTTAATTTTCCTGACTTTGTTTGTTTTTCCTCTCTACAGATGATATGGACGCCAACCTTCTTTTCTGAGCTTCATCTTGCTCCTAAAAATTAAAAACAGGCTTTGGACAACTGGAAACAGAAGCCTTCACAAATGATCTTTTTATTGTTTGTATTTCATCAAACAGTCACAACACAAGCTCAGATGAAGACACTAACTGTACATCCTTATAACAGACAAGTGTTGTGATCACTTCTATCTTTTACATTAGAGATCCTTGACTCCATTTTAACAAGTACAGTATAACTATTTATTAGAAGAACTTCCTTTCAGTCAGTTTCACTCAGTCTGCTCTTTAATGCATTTCATGCTGAGGGAAAGGTTTGTTATTAAAGAGTATATTGTAAAGTTAGAAATGCCAGCTTTTAAAGAGCTTTGATTTAGAATGATGTAGTGAAGAATTAGTTCATAAATCATTTATTTTTATGTAATTTCAAACTCTTGCTATACTACTGCGTACTTAATCTTGTAGCAAATGTTTACAATGTCGACTCATTTAGTTTTATTTTAAGTTGCGCATCAAGGAACTTCAAATTGTTACAAAGAATAATTCTGTGCACCTTGTTGTTGTCGTCAAATAAAGTCATGGCATTATTTTCACTTTGTGCCCTGAAAGAACCTCAGAAAGTTTGTGTTGTTGTTGTGTTTTAACAGGTTTTGTGTACCTTTCTGACTTGAACACATCCTCAGCAACAATAGGTTGGAAAATGCAAGTCACTCACGTGCGGTTTTGGTTCGCCACTTAATCTTGAATAATGGCCCTCTGTAAGACAACAATAGCTTGCAGCCCAGTCATGATGATGATGACGGTGACTTGATGTTTTCAGATAAAGTGTAGGATTGTGATTGGGTGTCTCTGCTCCATCACTGAATCTGTCTCTCGGTATATAAGTAGAGCTGGAGGTGGCTGTTCACCTGCTGACCTGCTGTCACAGAAACGAATCATGTACTGCATACTGTGGGTTATCTTTCAGACTCTGGCTCTGGTGGTGGAGGGTGGTGTGTCTTCAGGGAGTGCTGAGGCTCTTCTCAAAGGGGGTGCCAAAAACAAAGGAGGTGCAGGAGGAGCAGCAGGAGCTGCTGGTAACGTTGCCAATGGCGGGGGTCAAAATGGAGTTCCTCTGGCAGGTGGCGCTGTTGTGGCACGCTTGGTCCAACTTGGTGGGTCGTTGTTCATCCAGCCAGTGGGGAACCCTGTGGGGCAGGCTCCGGCTCAGCAGCTGATTCCCATCACAGCTCTCCAGCAAGGTGGGACTTTTCTTTTGGGGCAGGCAGGGGGAGCCATGGGGAACCTGCAGGGGCAGATGGCTCAACAAGCTGGAGGTGGGCCAGTGATGGTGCTTGGTGTTGTGCCCCAGAATAACGCCAGGGTCGACCCTCAGCCCGCCATGCTGGCTCCAGGCCAAGTGCAGCTGATCCCTGTGGCCGGCCCAAATAACCAGCAACAGCTGGGCGTTGCTGGTGGTATTGGGAATGCGAGAGGATTACTGAGGTTTCAGCGTTCAGTGGCTGCTCGTCTCAGGAGGACGCAGCCTCCAGTAACGACAGCTGCGGCTTCTCAAGAGGAGGAAGAATGCTCTGGGACGGACACGGAGGAAACCAACTGAAATAAAATGATACAATGCAGCAGTGACAGATGATTTACTCCACCACTCTACTCACAGACCCTGCCTCTTAGCTTTCCAGTCTTGGCAAAACTGTCATTCTGACTAATGATCAATAAATGATTGCATTGTTATCTACTGAGACCTTGTTGATTCTTTTATTTAAACACACATCATCTGTGCTCAGATATATTATGTTTGCAAAACATACAATAAAGACTATTATTATGGTGCAACTTCCAAGATTGCTGTTATTTTTATGCGAGACTGATGGAAAAATACACACAGTCCTATTTATACCACACTGCCATCATGCCGCATAGTAATTTGGGGCTCTAAACATGAAAAACATCTGAAATTCTTTACATCACTGCTCAGCTCCCGGGATGATTTGTTATAGTTAACGAAAGATATATTGAATACAAAACAGGAACTGTGCCACTTCGATACATTTACACATGAAAGCACTTAATAAATTAATATTGTGCAATTTCATTTATCTGAACATTAACTCCAAACAAGAAAAGGTTTCTAAATTTGAAAGGCCTGACGGTGTATAATTAGACCTCCAGACCAGACAGCCCACATGGTGTTTACCTAGTTTGCTGTGGGCTGCTCAGTCAGCAGCAGAGAAACCATTCCTAGACAACCTCAGCGTGAGAAAAAATAATGAGCGGCTACCCAGAGAACACATTTAATGTTTCCTAAACATATTGAGAAAAAGAGTAGAGTTAACATGACGTACTGGGTCTGTGCCTCTGTATCAAGTATTTGATTCAGGGCTAAGAAAATTAATCAAAATATGATTTAAATCTGACAGTACAATAAGAGGCGATGTGCTATATCCTTTATAGTCCCCTCAGGGATATTGCAACTTAAAGGATCCTTTTTGTTCTAGATGATGTAAACAGATTTTTGGTCAACATGCAGTCAAAGCAGCAGCACAGTCTGTGGTACATTAAATCACTTTCAAGCCTTCACAGTCTTTTCCCATCTGAATGAGATTCAGGTAAAGACTGAGGCTTCATGGAGGGATTGAAATCAGCCTACTGCTGTTACACCTCTGATGCAGCAAGGGAGGTAGTCACTGAGCTGAGTTGGTGTGTAAGTATAACGTGGGGGATAACACGATCTGTGCATAAAGCCAACAGTGTCGCCGTCCCTTGCTAGCTTTATTTGTGTAAACCCTTCAGACAGTGAAATATACTAATATTCAGGATGTCAATGGTGAGGAAACTGTCAGGGTTTCTGACAGAGCAGGGCAGGAGTGAACCCAATAATGCAGGGAAAGAGTCAGGACTCAAGGATTTACAAAAATAAATACTCTTTAATAATAATAAAATCAAAAAGGCTGACATGGCAGCAACTTACAAAAACAGGGAACAAGGAACAGATCAGGCTGGCAGGACAGGACAATACCCAGTGATGACGCAACAAAGGACATGACTCACAGACAGACTTACATACAGGTCCTTCTAAAAAAATTAGCATATTGTGATAAAGGTCATTATTTTCCATAATGTAATGATAAAAATGAAACTTTCATATATTTCAGATTCATTGCACACCAACTGAAATATTTCAGGTCTTTAATTGTTTTAATACTGATGATTATGGCATACAGCTCATGAAAACCCAAAATGCCTGTCCCAAAAAATTAGCATTAGCAGCTGTTGACCTGTGGATAGAAATGGTAATCAGAGGCTAAACCAAGGACTAGGAGGTACATCTGCATCATCTACCATGCAGGAAGCTGATGCAGAGGATAGTGGGAGTGACACTGAGGAGGACAGTGAGGAAGGTGGCACTTAAGACAAAGCTGCATATAGGGAAAGTGCCAAACACCATCTCCTGGTAAGCACCTGAGGAGCCCTCTAAAATAGTTATATGCACCCCTGCTACGGCACTCAATCTTAAATCTCAACTTATTGGACCCAGTTTTATTCCTTTAAGTTCTTGTGGAATATGATAAATAATGTCTCTTGCCTGGTATGCTCCTGTGGAATAGATTATTATTATTTTAAAATAAAATAAATCCTGTCACACTCAGGTGCTCTCTTTTTTTGGCATTCCTGAAATCAGGGCTTGACCAGAAAGATCAAGTTAAATGTCTTATGATTAAAGAGCATAGAGAAAAACAAGGTCAATTTAATTTGCTTCAGATTGAAGGGACACCATTCCTATCAAGAAAAATATTAATGTTTATTAAATAAGTCAAATTCAAAAGAGAATAATCATACTGATACTGGATAAGATCAGTTTATAACTTATAATAATTACTTTTGAGGCCTTTAATTGTCTTTTTCCGATAAACATTCATCACTTGTCTGAGTATAGCTGCTGCCTGCTTTGGATTAAGCATCATATACGGGGGGCAATATTATAGACATAAACATGGGTGTGCTATGGGGTCTTCAGTTTCTCCAAATGTTGTTGGAGGAGGTAGAAAAGAGAACCTTGGCGTCATTTTCAGTGACACCACTGAGTCATTGGTTCAGGTATGTTGACAACACCTGGGATAAAATTAAATCTCAGGAAGTCCAACATTTTACTGACCACATCAACTCTGTGGATAAATACATCAAGTTCACACGAAAAGATGTAAAAAATGGCAGGTTGGCTTTCTTGGACTGTGAGGTCTCAGTCTCTGATAGAGGACATTTGCAAACTGAGGTGTACCGCAAACCCACCCACACAGACCAGTATTTGCAGTTTGACTCCCATCACCCTTTGGAGCACAAGTTAGGAGTCATCAGGACTCTGTACCACAGAGCAGACAGCGTCCCCACTAGCTCAGGAGCCAGGCAGAAGGCGAAATTCCACACAAGACAGGCTCTAGAGCAATGTGGATATCCTAACTGGGCCTTCCTGAAAGCAGAGAAGAAACCCAAACAGGACTCCAGTCAACCAACAGGTGAAAAGGAGGAACCCAGACCCAGACCAGTGGTCATTCCGTATGTTGAGGGAGTATCAGAGAAACTGAGATGTTTATTTTCTAAACACAACGTCCCAGTGGCTTTTAAACCCCAAAATACATTATGACAAAGACTGGTTCATCCCAAAGATCCAGTCCCCGGCACAAACAGAGTAATATTGTGCTGTTCAGTGTCAGGAGGTCTGTGATCAGTCTTACATAGGGGAAACTAATCAGCCACTGGCCAAAAGGATGGCCCAGCACAGAAGATCAACAACATCAGGCCAGGACTCTGCGGTCTACACTCATCTCCAGGCCAGCGGTCACTCTTTCAAGGATGAAGATGTTCACATCATGGACAGAGAGGAACGATGGTTTGAGAGAGGAGTAAAGGAGGCCATCTTTGTGAAAAGAAACCGTCCATCATTAAACAGGGGTGGAGGCCTCCGGGTTCAACTGTCCCCCTCTTACAATGCTGTGATTGCTAGTATCACTCAGCCCTCTGTGAACAGTAAACAGCCATCAGTGTGCTAATGATCCATTGTTAGGCTGATGGTCCTCCCTTTGCATGTGAACATCTAGTTCTGGATGTCACCAGCAGATGGGTTAATCCACTATGAGAAGGTGCTGCTTATAAGACTGAGTTTGGTGCAGCTCCTCAGACTGAAGGACAAAAGACCTGCCTCAACCTTGTTAGATCTTTATAAATGTCTAGTTAAAATGTATTGAAAACATCCTATGGAGTTCATGATTTATTAATTTATAATAAAGCTGCACAAATATAAGTGCCTAACAGCTTTATGGTTTATATCCAGCTTGTTGACTGTCCTTAGCATATTGGAAAACAGTGATAAGATCAATAACTGGCAATAAGTGACATTTACAAACACAAATTTGTTTCCTTTCACAAAGGAAGAACATCCCATAAAATAACTGAAATACCTTTACATTAATAAAAGTTATTAAAAGAAAGAAAAGTTACATAAAAGTCAAATCCTGAAAAAAAAACGACACTGCTTTTGGATCTTGCTTCAACAGAATTATTTAAGTTACTAGTCAATAATGTTTTTAAGCTCCTGAGACTATCCCCAGCCTCTTGTGGTCCATGTTCAGTGTGGTACACACCATGATCCCAAACAGCCCTGTGACTACCTGTCACAGGATGACTGATTACACACTGAAGACACCTGACTACAGGACACACCTGAGTTTAACACGTCCCTGTGGTCAAATCATTTTCAATCATTTCTTCGTTTTCTTGGCCGTTAAAAAAATAAATAAATAATAATAATAATTTTCATTAATTCTTGAAAAAAATAATAATTTTTGTTGATTTTTAGCACATGATATTTAAAATGACTTTTGTCATTTTCAAGTTACTTCAGGGATCTTTGTGAGGTTTCCCTTTCTTAACAAAGTATTGCAAATTAATCTATCCATGTCTGTTCTTGGTTGTGCTGCTTTGATTTTTTTCTCAGTAAAACAACTGATTATTTTTTATTTATGTTGCATTTTCTGCTAAGTTACCAAGTCTGTAATAGTTTACCGGGATATGAAGCCTTATTTTTTCACAAAATATGGGAACATTTTTAATAAATATTTCACTTATATTGATATAAACGTTGGTATGCTTGAAAATATTTAGTTGCATATTCTCAGAGCATTTGAAGAGTGATAATGACAAAAGCAACCAATAAATGCTTTCTACCATGACAATTAAATCTAAATTATTAGCTTTTTTATATACAGCTGACACTTATCCAGTGTTTCCACCCCTGACTTATAATCAGCATCACACCACATGTAATATAACAGTTGCACTCCAGATAAGAAGAAAATCAGCAGATGATACGTTAATTTTCTTGTAGATATAGCTGTCATTTGTTGCTCTGCTTTGTTCCATACAGTGTTTGATTTGAACATAAGAGCCCACAGGAAGATGTTTTTCACTCTCCAATCCACAGACACCCAGCAGTGATGTCAGTTGTTTGGCTCCTGCATCCTCAGCCCGCAGCATTTAAGGCTTTCTGACCGGTTTAAAGTCCGTATCTTCCACAGACCCATCCAGAGAAACTGAATCACTCTGTTTTCATCTGTGGTCATTTGACCGCACACAGAACAACGAGAAAAGACTGAATGTGTGGAAATTTTCCCAACAGAGGCAGCTCATGGATTTACAGATCCTATTAAATCTTTTGTTCCAAATGAACGTGTCATACCACATGCTCTGATGACAAACAAGTGACAAATAGACTTCGTAAAAAAAAAAAAAAAAAAAAAAAACCCAGAGGACATGTTCTCGTCTCTAATTGGCTCAAGATAATCTCTGAGTCTGATAAAAAGGTGTCACGATACATAGAGTTACCATCTTCTGACATTTGAAGAAAAGGTACTTTGACCGGTTTCAAGCAGCAAAATGAAGCTTCTTCTCTTCACGGCATTCGTTGCGACCATCTCCTATGTGAGTTCTGCCTACCTGCATCTGATCTGTTTTTATGTTTACTGTCATTTAACATCTCATCTGTTCATTCACTGCAGGTCAGCGCCGGCAAGGTGAGCAGCATGCATGCACATTCTGAACAATATTATAAAGTAGGTTACTGACATTAATTTGAAACATCTTCTGCTCCTTGCAGACAGCGAGGCTGCTGGCAGCTATGAATGCTGGGATGCTCAATGGGATGGTGGCTGGAGGTCTGAACCCTGCTTTAGCAGCTGGTGGTGGAGTCGGTTTCATTGGGCAGCCTCAGTTTGCTCAGGTGAGTCCATCAGATTATTTGTTGTGCAGGTGCTTCAACCTTCTGATTTATTTGCACGTTTTATCTCGTCACAGTTTGTTCCTGGACTTCCTGCCTTGGCTCTTCGCCCTCCCATTGCCAACATGCTCCCTGCAGCGATCAATGCGGTCGGTGCAACTGCAACAACACAAAAACGACATGCGCGTTCGGGCTTTTAAAAATGAAACCTCACTTTTTGGTCTTTCTCGTTTAGTACCAGCTTCCTTTCATGGGCGTTCCTCAGATGGCTCCTCCTCAGCAACCTCAGATGGTAACCATTTCAACTGAATCTGCTTTAATACTGGGGTGCACAGGGTAAACAAATGATGTATGTAGCAAGGTTTGGGGGTTATTTTCAGTCATTCTAAATAGAAAACTACTCACAGGTAGAGACAGTTGAAACCTCCTGGAGGGTTTGTAAGACAGAAGGCTCATGAAGAGCAAGGATTTATCCACAGGGCACTTCACTATAAAATGTATTTTAAAAAGTTCTTATTTTACTGTTTTTTCATCCATTGGGGTTGAAAAGTGTCCTACAGGCCATCTGTCAAAAAAATAAAAGGTTTGTTAAAAAAATTAACCAAAGTTTGACTTTTCTTTGAACTAATTTGACCCAAACTTGAAGCAAAAGAAAAGGAAATATAGAACAGAATAACAAAATATTATTATTAATAAAAAAATAAAGACCAAGAGAACCTTGAAACAATTCCTATCTTCCTCCATCTTTCATGCCAATGTTTAAAACAATGATAATCTTTCTCAGATGGAAACTGCAGCCATTTTGGTGAACCTTGGACACGTTACATGCCGATCTCATGACTTTCAGGTTATGTGTTGGGGATGACTTTCAGATACTACCACACCAAGTTGTAGCTCAAAATTTACTGACTTGAAGCTGTTGACGTGTTTGCTCAAGTCAGCTGTGGTGGACATCTTGAATCAGTTGTAAATGTACTTCCACTGGTGTGGGAGATATTTTGCTAACAAACAAGCACATTTTTAATGGCCCATTTATTTATTTAAATGGACAGTGCAAATTGCAAGAATTTAAATGTGTCATAGTTAACCCAATAGCTAAATTTCAATTCCATGATAGCAGGTGATATTAAACTCTAAAGTTCACAGCTGAGAGCTTGTCAGCTGTTCATCCACTGATGAAGCTCTCAAACTCCTGAGTTTCCTGTGAATCTGTTGTTCTTACTTTGCTTTGATGAGTTCCTTCCAAAGCAACTTTTTGTATTTAAATCCTGGCTATTAACTATTATTCGTTACACAAAAACTTTTTCTAGACGAGAGCTGTGAACACATTCTTTGTCTGACTGCAAACACTGGACCCTGCAATATGAAGTGTAATGTTTCAGAACAAATACAAATATTGCGCTCCAGCTTTTTTAGATTTGTAAGAAAAGTCCAACATCAGTAACTGATGGTGTCTCCTCAGGGCATGGCAGGTGGAGCCATGCAGCAGCAGTTTCCAATGGTAACCTCATTTCTTTAATGATATGTTAAAGCATTTTTAGAAATGTAAGAACTTATTAAAATGAGTTGGCATTTCTTGTTCAGGGGCTGGCAGGTGGAGCCATGCAGCAGCAGCTTCCAATGGTAACTTCTCGTTTCTTTAACATTCTTTGCAAGTATTTCTAGAAGCGTAAGGAATCACTAAAATGAGTTTGCATTTCTTGCTCAGGGGATGATGGGTGGAGCCATGCAGCAGCAGCCTCAGATGGTAACTTTTTACCTTGCATACTTTATCTGTTGGCATTTTAAGAACGTTGAGGAATCAGCAGAATGACTTGTTTTTGTTCAGGGGGTGGCCGGTGGAGCCATGCAGCAGCAGCAGCTTCCTGCTCAGCCTGATGCTCTCAGGAGATTCAGGGTATGAAGCTACATTTACTGTGAATGATATGAGTCCCATCTGAACTGACTAAATGTGTCTTTGTGTATTTTTAGCGTCAGGTTGTGAAATCAGCAGGTACAGGGAAGTCTGCTGTGGACACACAGGTGAGAAAAATCCCAGACACTGTCTTTTTCTGGGTATTTTTTTTATTGTTTGTAAAGCTCTTTCATTAATTATCTTCTGTTTCCCTAATGTGTCCACAGCTCCCAGCTCCCACTGAGTCAGCAACAACACAGCCTCCATGTGACAACAACATTTCTTCTGAGACTAATTAAACTCATAAAAATCCGTCTTCATGACGTGAGAATTGTTATTTCAAACACAATTAAATGCAATTTGTAATGTCACATATTTGATGTTTAATAAAAAAAATACCTCTAAAATCCAAACAAGTTCTGTCTGATTTTACATATTTTTTAAAAATCCTAATAATCCAGTGGATTGTATCATGTCTTCATCTGAGCAGAGATTACAGTGAACCTCTGCTGCCATCTAAAGGATGATGAGTGGAGGAGGGTAAAGCTTTCAGGAAGCCAAAACAGATGATGAACATATAGTTAAATCAAACATACAGTCCCTCTTTGAGAAGTGATGATGCCTTTGAGTGTTTGTTTTATCAGATTATTTTATGAAGTAAAAAAAAATGCAGAAAGTAATATCTGGATGGGGCAGCATGGTGGCGCAACTGGTAGAGCTGCTGCCTCTCAGCGAGCAGGTCCCTGGTTCAAACCCCGGTCCAGGGGCCCCTCTGGGTGGAGTTTGCATGTTCTCTCCGTGCATGCGTGGGTTTTCTCCGGGTACTCCGGTTTCCTCCCACAGACCAAAAACATGCATGTTAGACTGATTGGTAACTCTAAATTGTCCCTAGGTGTGAGTGAGAGAGTGAATGGTTGTTTGTCTCGTTTGTCTCTATGTGTCCCTGTGATGGACTGGAGACCCGTCCAGGGTGTACCCCGCCTCTCGCACAGTGATTGCTGGACATGGGCACCAGCGACCCCCGTGACCCAAAATGGAATAAGTGGGTAAAGATGATGGATGGATGGAATATCTGGATGTGCCTCTGAAACCGATTAACTTCTAGTCAACTTGATTTAAGACAATTGCCACGGCTAAGCCACCTTAGTTAAGACAAAATACTTTTCCTCAGTTAGTTTAGGTACTGAGCTACATGTTGGTGTGGTAGTAGCTGAGACTGAGTCAAAACGGAGTGCTGACAGAATGCACGTCATAGTCTGTTCTTCTGTTGTTTAATGAGCTCCTAAAGTTGATCTTTTAGTTTTATTTTCTTTGTGCTTAAAGTTTATTTTTCTGTCTTTTGGGATATTTGTGTTTGAGTTTTGTTATTTGTCTTCTCCCATCTGGTTAGATCTTTACCCATTTGTGTTTTTGTACTTCACTGTTAGGTTTATTTTAGTATTCTTGTGTAGGCCTTATCTGTTTCCCAGCATGCCTTGTGTCACTCTCACCTGTTCCCAATCAGCAATCAGCGCATGTGTTCCCACTAACCTCTGCTCTCTTCATTCGGTCTGCGTTACCTCTCAGCAGCTCTGCATTATTGGTCCTACGCCTCAATGTGTCAGAGTCTTTTTGTCTCGTGTCTTCCTGTGTTAACATTTATTATTTGAGTTTTCTTGTTAGTTTAGTTGTGCTGCATCTTCTTTTTTTGTTTTACGTTGTTAAATAGAGCTTTTTTTAAGTTTCATTTTCGAGCTCCTCCCTGGTCCAATCTTTACATGCAAACTGTCGTTCTGCCTTTAACTCTTTAGTTATATTGTCTCTGTCTGTTAGCAAAATATTTCATGAACCACTGAGAGGATTTAATAAAACTTTCAGGAACTAATCATTGGTGTATATTTACAACTGACTCACTTTTGGAGTTATCTAGTTCCAGATGGCTGCCACAGTCAAATGACCTTACACAATGCTAAAATGCCAGAAATTCAGTCAGTTCAGCAGATATTGTACTAAATGTGGTGTGGCTGTAGCTGAGAGTCATCCCCAGCATATAATCCATGTAATGAAATAATTGCAGTCAATTTTGCCTTTCAGCAGATTAGATAATTTAAGTTGGTCTACATTCAGAGAGTAAAAATAATAATAATAAAAAAGACTTGACAGTTTTATAAATTCACCTAAATATTTTTTAAATAGGCTGTTTACAGAAATCCAGCTTTTTACCTTTTTAAAACTCTTTTGGCAGAAACAACAGCCTCAGGTAATTTTGGGAACAGTTCTGTGAGCTGGATGCAGCTTTTTGAAGTTTCTTACATCCATTATCTTTTACCCGCTTCTTCCATTTTGGGTCACCGGTGCCCATGTCTGGTGATCATTGCGTGAGGGGCGGGGTACACCCTGGATGGGTCGCAAGTCCATCACAGGGACACATAGAGACAAACGAGACAAACAGCCATTCACTCTCTCACTCACACCTAGGGACAATTTAGAGTTACCAATCAGACTAACATGCATGTTTTTGGTCTGTGGGAGGAAACTGGAGTACCCAGAGAAAACCCACGCATGCATGGAGAGAACAGGCAAACTCCATTCAGAGAGGACCCTGGACCAGGATTTGAACCGGGGACCTTTATGCTGAGAGGCAGCAGCTCTTCCAGTTGCGCCACCGTGCTGCCCACTTCATAAATCAATCAGATCAAATAATTTTGTTACTGTGAAGCTTTTCTTTGGCAAACTCCTGCAAGATGTTACTGTAGGTCTTTTGGCGAGGACAGAATGTGGACATAATACCATCCTGATACGTGGACCGGATTGGTACCCTGCTGACAGTCCTTGTTAGGATCTGTCCTTCCATCAGGATTAGTGCTTCTGACTCCTCCTGTCTGTCATTTTTGTCCCTGTAGGTTCTGTGAGCAGTCAGAGCTGGTGGATCACAGCTGTGGAAAATGAGAGCCGACTACCATCCTTTAAAATGCTGAGTCACTCCATTAGTCTTTGCTGGACCGTTAGTTACCAAACAGTGATAAACCTACAACTTCTTGTGCTCTCAATGTGTTCTGAAGATCTAATTGTCCTCGTGCTGCACATAAATCCTTGTGTTCCTTGGATCACTTGTCTCCTTGTTACCTCGTGTGATTCCTCGTCTGATGAAAGTCTTCCTCTCCTGCAACAAAAAGAAAACCTGGTCACCTCGACTCAGCCTGCATGCTCTCCAACATACACCACCTGTCTCTCCTCATCTTCAGATATCTTTCCCTGAGCACAGAATCACAGTCCTAACACATTCTCCTCTGAGCCTGGAACCCATACACACCAAGAAAGAGACCATTTGTACAAAAACGCTTTAGTCATCTGGAAACTCTGTACTAACCTCTCGCCATCTTCTGCAGGTCCTCCAGTCCCTGGGCCATCTCCTCCTGTGTAAATAAACCTACTTACCTTGCAGTGGCGGCTCCTCAGCAAAAATATTAGTAGGGCAGACATTAATTTCCTGAATCACTAACCACACAATGTTTTACAAATTGCATTAACATTTCTGTGAAAAAAGGACATATTAGTCCTTTAATTACTATTTAATTTATTGTAGTTGTTTTTTTGTGTGCGTGTGCACAGATTTGTGCCTTTTATCTCCCTCTTGTGGGTCGAGATTGTGTCACATGAAAATCAATCGGGTCTAATAAATCAGAGAAACAGACGCCTCTTCACACCTACGTCCACCCCACAGGTGCACAGCTTTCTGAAGTGGATTTCTAATTTTATTTTGAAGTAATAATTCTGAAATAATTTTCCAGATTAACACAGTTAAATGGGAGAAAAATAACTCAAGTGAAGTAACACTAAAAAATTAAAAGTGAAAAATGATGATAGAAAGTATCAACACAGATTCAAATAAAAGATCTAAGCAGGAATCAAACCCACAATCTTCAATGGTTCAAGGTTCAAGGTGACCTTATTGTCATTCTCATCACATGTGGTACATGAGGTGGAATGAAACTGTGCACTCAAGGTCCCAGTTACACCCTAAAATAGCAAAACTCTAAAGTACTGTATAAAAAAAGAAACAGTATACAAGGGTCTAAGGTATATGCTAAACAATAATAATGTAATATAGTTTGGTGTATTAAACAGTAGCCTGAACATGAGTCTGTTGTGAGCAGACGAGTATTAATATAGCAGCTTATGGGCAGCTAATCAACGGCATGGATAATCAACGGCATGGATAATCAACAGCATGGATAATCAGCAGCACAGATAAAGTGTCATATCTCCATTTAAGGTGTCATTACAGTGATTATTCTGATTAGGGATTCATGAGTCTAACAGCTTCAGGGTAGAAGCTGTTCCTCAGTGGTTCTACACTTAATGTGCCGCAACCTCCTGCCTGAGGGGTGTGGGGCAAAAAGTGTGTGTGCTGGGTGAGTGGGGTCCTTCATGATGCAGGTGGCCCTCTTCCTGCATCTGGAGGTGTAGATGTCTGTGATGGTGGGGAGACTGACTCCGACAGTCTTCTGTGCAGCCTTCACCACTCTCTGCAGAGCTTTCTTTTCTGCAGCTGGGCAGCCTCCATGCCACAATCTTCTGATTACAAGACAATTACTTTACTCATTGACCCACCACACAAACCCCCCCAGAACTCCTTAAATAAGATTCAACCATCTTGATGAAAATGTCCTGTTTTTTTACTTTCCTTTGTTCTCAGTTTTCTGTTCTTATCTCTTCTGTCTCCTCCCAATAGATTTAAACAGAACATACTTTCACAGAATGCTGTTTTGCAAATCTTCAGACAATCACCTCTACCTCAAAACTTGATTTTCAGTATGACACCATCAATTGTGAGACGTTACATAGAGAGGTGTTTGCTTTCTAATTAAATCCTGTAACTTCTGATGTGGACTGAGTGACTCCAATATGAATAAATAAAAACAGGAAACAGAGTGTGCCACAATTCAGCTGAGTGTCAGCACAAATAATAAAAATATTAGGATTCTGAAGCTTTATTTCGCAGGTTAAAATGCTCAAATACCACACGAGCTGCTTTCTTTTTGCAGTATTGTGCGAAAAGAGGGAAAGCTGTGTTTTTATCTTTTATATCAGAGTCAGAGTCAGAGATTCTTTATTGTCATTCTTTATTGTCATTCTTTATTGTCATATCCTTATAGTTCTAGAATTGCGCCATTCAGGGTGGCTGCATGTTGGAGTAGCTCTGTTACATTCATTATGAGTTATGAAGATTTTAATTCCTCTTTTTCTGGATGTAAATTGCTTTTTTCAGATGATTATTTACTCTGATGTCGGATGTTGTGCAGCTGGAAGGATTTTTACTGAAACCTTAGTACTTTGGGGCATTTGTTATGATGCGTAACCATGGCAACAAGATGTTTTTGTAACAACCTGGAGCAGCTGATTAACATCTCAAATGCTCAAATACCTCAACTACAGCCCCAAATCCCAAATGAGTTGAAAAGGAGGCGCTGTGGACGAATTCCCGTCAACCTGGCAGCGGTGGTCGAGTACTTGATCGCCGAGATCCTTGAGCTGGTGGGAAACTTGGCTTGTGACAACAGGAGGACAGGGATCTTCCCTCGGCACCTTCAGCTGCCTGTCCATGGTGACGAGGAACTGGGCAGACTGCTGGGAGGAGTGACCATAGCTCAGGGAGGAATTCTGCTCGACATTCGGGCGGTCCTGCTGGACCAAGAGGCCCGCCGGATCTGACAGCAAGCTGGATCTGGGTGGATGGATCTGTGGCCAGATTCTTCGGATTTGCTGCAGGAGGTCCTTCCTACCATCAGCTATCAGCATCTATCAACTCTTGAATGGAACCAGGATGATGAGCTATAACAACACTTAATTTCCCTCTGGGATTAATAAAGTATTTTTGAATTTGAATTTGAATTTTGAATTCACACCACGTGTGGCATATGTGGTGGAGCAAAACTATGTACGCAGGGTCCCAGTTACATCCAACAATAACTGTAAAAGAAAAACAACAATAACATCTAAGATGCGAACTAATATGAATTTATATGAATTAACTACAAATTAATTCTAAATGAAAGCGCAGCAATGCTTGGAAAGACTCTTCTGAGACCACAAGTTTGATTCAACCTGTAGGACTTTCAGCACATAGTCGTTTGAAGGAATGCATATCACCCGCTGCATTGCACACGAAGGTTTCAAAGAACAATATCATGTGATTAGTTTGCCCTTGGACTATCTGCTGGGGATGACACTCAGCTACTACCACACCTGAATTTAGCTCAGTAGCTTTAAAGTTCATTTGAGTTATAACCATTTTTTAATTTCCTAATCTGGATTAGTTGTGGCAGCCATCTTGAGTTGGGTTGATTTCAAAAGTTAATAAGTGGTAAATGCACAGCAAATGATGACTTTCTGAGAACTTCATTAAATTCACCCAGTAATTCACAATATATTTTGCTAACAGACACACAAAGTTGATCCCAGTGCCAAAGTTTTAACTTTTATTCATTGTGAAAGGTTTTCTTAAAATAAAATTAAAGTAGAAGATGAGCCCAGCACAAAATTAATGAAAGACTTAGAATTAGTGTGACATGTTTAGCTTCAACTGAAGGCATTTGGACATGTTCAAGCAAAGAAAATTAGTTTTCCTTAAAAACGAAAGGAAAACACCTAATGAATAATTCATCTGTAACTAGAACGGCTTTTGGGTCCCAATTTGAATAAATGAGGTCAATAATTAGCTGTCATGTAAAAATATTGACTAAAAGCCAAAAAGGAAACACCTTGTTATCAAATTAACCACACAAATACATTTTCTGACAAAAATAGAGCTAAGCACTAAGACGAGATAGAAATTAAAATATATGTCTGCACATTTATTTATCTTTATTTAACCAGGCAAATCCCACTGAGATTTGAGATCACACATCTCTTTTACATGGAAGGCCTGAAGGCAGCCTAACATGCATGTTTTTGGACTGTGGGAGGGAACTGGAATACCCGGAGAAAACCCAAGCAAGCACGAGAACAAACAAACTCCACACAGAAAGACGCCAGATCCAAACCAGGAATTGAACCCAGGACCTACTTGCTGTGAGGCAACAGTGTAAACAACTAAACCATCATGCTGCCAAATGTTGCACATGATAAAATGTTACTCTTTTAATGATTTCCTTATCAGATAAAACAGATCATAGGGCTGGCGGTACGGGCACCCTGCTGGTTCCAGGTCAGTATGGTGTGGCACCTCCTCAGGCCTGGATACAAACAGCAACACAGTGTAGAACCAAGTCATAGTTCTGTTGTATCGTCTCTGCTGTGAGTTGGCTGCACATGTTGAAACGGGCTCTAGAGATTCTGCAGACTGGAACCTGGTCAGACCTGAAGTTCTCACTAATACCTCATGTTTGATTGGCAAAGAGATCAAAGGACATGGTTGACCACCAGAGACAGTTCACAGACACACAGGTCATGTGTGGATGTATGTTGTTGAAAAACTGTACCAGGTTACTGTCTCTGGATGTTACTGATATGTCACTGTGCTGTCAGGGTCCCCTGAATCCCTACCAAAGATGTCCTGAAGTCAAACTCCAAGGATCCCTGCACCATAATGCCAGGAGTTACGCTGGTGTATTTCTTGATACCACTGATGCCATCACATGTGCACACAATGGTCGTATGTGTAACTCAGAGTTACAATTCATTGCTGAGCATGATACAATATCACTCAGCAGTCTTTTGTCTCCTCATTGTGGCGAGACACCCCATGCAGCCGTATCTGTTCTGGTATTAGTGGTAGCCTCCCCATGGAACAGCCAGCACAGACAATTAATGACAGACAATGCAGGAGGACACGGAGCTGTTGTAAAAAGTCCAATACCTGTGTCCAAATAGCAGACACAGATGTCACTGGGGGTCTGTAATGATTGTTGCACAACCTGACAATTGTTCCTTGGTATGTTCTGTCTTGGATGAACTGAATCTTCACATTGTGTGTTGGTACCTTCATGCACCCAGTCTACCTGTTCCAACATTGGGTAAGTGTTGCATCTGTACACTGGTCGGAATAATATCCAGCCACATGCAACACCCATAATGTGACCCCTGTCAAACTCCTTTAGAAGTGTTTATTGAATTATAGCCATTTTTGTATACTGATATATGACATGTCATAATGAAATTGAAAGCATCTACAAGACAAACTGTGTTTGGAGACCCTCACTCAAAACTCATAACTTTACTCTAGCCCTACTCAGAATGCCACAACGTTCATATTCAATCATGTGCAGTATAAACTCATCGCTGGTCTGCATGTGTGCTAAACTGTGTCCACATTGAACCATTTCTCTGGGTGCTTTTTAAGTAAGAGCAGTAATGAGCAGAACATTATGGAAATATCAGATTCATGTGAAAAACAATAATCTTTTACATCTAAAACAACTTTACCCGCTTGATAAAGACTTTTGGAAGCCCACAGTTGCAAGTTTCTCATGCTTTTTTACCAACAACACAAATATCAGTCAAGTAAATCGTTGACCAATTAAATGCCAACAGCTGTTTACAAGCGATGAACAAACTGTGACAAAAGTCTGATCCTGAGATTGTTTTTCTCATGACTTGCCAAAATTCCTGTTGGTCCTAATGTCCATAATTATACTGTAACACATGAACACAGGCACAAGAAACAATCTAAAAAGGGTATTGTGCAAGCTTAACGGCCACAGTGACAAGTTATGGCGAATACGAGCAAAAAAAGTGTCAATGTGGAGGTTTTGTCAGTGCACGCTCAGTTTTAGATTAAGAATGTTTAACCGCTCAACGCGGAGCATGATTTGCTTAGAGACATGACTTACACTTAATGACACGCTTAGCATCGTGCGTTGCGAGTGTCTGAGTCTGTTGTCATGAGGAACGTCTGTCATTCTGACCACATGTTGTCTGGGGGAGTTATTGGTGGGCTGCAACAAGTCGCACACAGAACTTAAAAGGCATCCAGACGAGGAGAGGAGACAGAAACAAGGAGAGAAGAGAAACGGTAAGTCGCAATCTTGTTTGTGTCAGTTTCTTATGTCTTTATAAAAAAAGGAATTTTGAAGAAGTAATCATGAATTTATGGAACTTTAAAACATTCTTCTGAACTCTGCAGGACATCATGAAGCAGCAAACAGCCCTCCTGTTGATCTGTTTCTTCAGGTCAAGCTTCAGTTTGCCGGTGAGTTGATCCTTTTATTTGCTTTCTTACGCGTGCAGAAATACGTATTAACTTTTTCGACAAATGACGTTTTTTTAATGTTTTCTTGATGCTGCAGATTGCACTTATTGCGAGCAACAGCAACGAGGTAAATCATTATTAAACTTATGGTTTGCTTTCTCAGTCACAATTCTTTTCATGCAGAAAATAATCAGCCTAACCTTTTTATTGTTCAGATTTTAAGACTGAATGGATTAACTCTTGCAGCTCTTGGACAAACACAGGTGCAGCTATAATTCCTCAGATTATCATGAATGCACCTTTTCATCAAATTGTTAAAAATAAACATAAACTGACACGTATGTATACCTCTTCCATCTCCAGGCCTCTTCCCTGTTCCCCCCGTATGTTCTGCAACAGCAGACCCCCGAAGTGCTGCTCACCCCACAGGTGGTCAATCTGAACCCTCAAGTGGCAGGTCCATTCGGCCCCCAGGGGCCACAACTGTTGCTCCCCAACCAGGGCGGCCAGCTGACACCTATGCTTTTTCCCAACGGCCAGCAAGAGCAGCTCGGACTTCCTCAAGACCCTAACAATCCCAGAGTTCCTCAGCAGGCCCAAAACACTGCACAGGTACCAAACCAGCTCATAAAGATCAGAATCCAGAGATTACTCTGCTTCATGCGTGGAGAAGCTGATCATTATCTTCAAATCTCCTTTAGATGTATCCACAGTTTCAGTACCCGTCCTTTGGATTCCCTCAGCTCTACAGGCAGCAGGTATGGAGTCAAACATATGAACCTCTTTGCAAAACCTTTAGAGTGTTTTCTGTTGACTTTTTGAGCTTTTTGGTATTTTTCTTATTATTTGTCTTGCACAATGTTGTTTTTGCTGCTTTTTATTTGGAAAAAAAATCCATCAAAACATTCATTTTAATAGGAAATAGTGTCCAATGATATCACGTAAATTTAATAAAAAATCAACAAAATAAATTCCCGTTGACAACATAAGGCTGGATCTTACATGACTCAAGTGGCACTTCCATGTTTTTTACTTGTTAGTAGTTGGTTTGATTATCTTCTTAATCTTTAAATTTGAGTGTGATGTCATGCACCTATATGCAATCTAAACTTTCCAAACATTTTTTAAACAAACTCTTCATATTTCCTCACTTGTTCCTCTTCCTCATACAGTTTTATACATCAGAATGTAGACATTTTAATCTTCCACAGTGTGTCTCTGAGTGCAGTAAGAACTGAGGTTTTTCCTCAAATCAAAAGTCAGACTGCACTCGTGCAAGCTCTGATAGGTTCCCATTATGTCTGAGCTCTGACTGAAGGGTGAAGGGGTTTTTAACTCATATCTTCTACAGACTCCACAGTAAAAACATGAAATATTCACATGTGTGACCATCAGATATTTCTACACTTCATAGGGTTTTTGTTACTAATAACATTTGAGCAGCAGCTAACTGTCTGAGGTTTATGTTTTGGTCAGTTATTGCCTGTCTTTCTTTTCGAGTACAGTAAGGGAGTGAGAAACACCGATGTGTGGTTTCCATGGTGACCCTAATGAGCCACTGTCAGCAGCTGTATTTGTTGTGGTCTTACTTTTCTTCGTGTCTTTAAAATGTTTTTACACTGCAGATATCACAAAGTGATATATTTTTATTTGTTCCAGGGTTACCCTTACTTTTACGGCTACCCTCAGCAGAGGAATGCTGCGGTGTTGCCCAACAACGGACAGCAGAACCTGGAAAGAACGACACAGAGACCACAACTCCCCCTGCAGGTCATTTTTCATCAACTGATCTTTTCAAGGAAAATATTTACCCATTTCATCTGAATAAAAATGAAACAAAAACACATTTTTCTTAAGTAAACATAAAGATGTTAAGCGATCAATGTAGTACGAACTGACCCCAAGTGGGGGGAACTGTATCCCACCATGAATAAAGTGTTTGAGCTTCTACAGGTAATGACTCAAAGGTAAAATTGAATGATGATAGTGCAGCTGTGGGTGCTGAGTCATGCTGGTGTGGATGAGGTGAGTGTGACGTAATGACCTCTGGCTGCCACACCGGTGGTCTGATTCCTCAGAGGACTGCCGATGGCGTTGACCACTGAAAACATGTGTTCCTTAAATCCTTTCATACAGGTTTTTATTTGACGGTGCCACAGCTGCATTAACACTACATGATGGTGATAACTTTATGTCATGATGTTTTTGTGCAGTTGGAAATGCTAAAGTTGGAACTTTGTATTTTTACCGTTTTTTTTTTAAATACTTGCCGTGTAAATGCTTTGCGATCAGATTTTCATGTACATTTTCTTTTTCAGCAGGCCTCCAAGGTGAAGCAACAGACAGAAAAAGTGAGATGACCTGTTTTCTTTTCTTGTTTTGTTTTTTGTTGTAATTGACTGAGACTACTGCAAAAGGTTGTGTGTTTTTAAAAATATCTAACTGAAATGTTTAACGTCAGACGTGGGCAGCGGGAACACAGAAAGAGTCCACCACTGTTCCACCTGATCCTCGCGGTGACACGACGGGCCCCGGGCCTGACGAGGTACGACTTCAAGACGTCACAGAGTCTACGTGTTGCACACGTGGGGTTGTCAGTGTGCGTTTGACATCGTTTGCAGCTGTAATTAATGTTCTGCTTTTCTTATTTCCTCCAGGGAAATGGAAACTTCCCCTTCCTGTTTGAGCCTTAGACGTCGGCTGAGAAAGAAAAACTTCTGCTGAGGCCAAACACACGAGCGAGTTTACTCCAACCCAACTGAAACACTCTGCTTTCCCAAATAAATAATTTTGAATAAAGTTGCTTTTATGTCGTTTACTCCCGTTTCCAATAATAGTCTAATTTTTATAAAACTGGTATGTTAATTTAAACTGAAAAAAAAAAGTAATCCTAAAATAGAATTGAATTAAAGATAGCATTATTTATTTTTATCAACCATCAAAATGATAAATGCTGTAAGATGTGCACATTCAGTTCAAGGTACTCTAATATTGTTTTCACTGGTGAATTTATTGATTTCCTGGTTGTTGGAATGAGCGCCTACATAAAAGTTTATCTTCGAAGCAAGTTGAAACCGAAATTAAACTTAAACGAGCTTTTAAAGCTTTTTGTTGAGGGACAGAGGTAAGGGATCCCTGAGAGGTCAGTTTATAATTTTATTTGTTCTCTGCTACTTAATTCATTGTCGTTGTTTTGGGTATTTAAAATATCACAATAGTGTGTTCTTCACCTTCAGATATTCAAAATAAATTCAATAAGTGTAAAAAATATATATCCTACAGCTGCTCTGTTTGCATTTCTTGTGTGTCCTGTTCAGAACAAAACCAGACCACCTCAAACAAATCAAAGAGTCTGATCACTGAGCAGTGAAAAACATCTGAATAAAGCAACTATTGTTATTTCTTAACAATATTATTATCAGCATGAAAAATAATTCAGAACTGACCAGGAGGCCTATTGTGTTGCTTTAGTTGATCATTAAGGGGTTGTGGATGTTGTTGGGTGTTGCCTGTTTTCAGACCAGAGGGCTGTTTCACAAACCTGCAGCAGGGATCATCTACAGTGATCCAGGATCAGCCTGTCCTGGATTCAGTTTCACAGAAGCAGTGATTCATAAGTTCCTGTTGAAATGTGTCCTGTGACACCAGCTATGGTTGAGTTCATCTGGATGTGTTTCATCATCCAGAAAGGAGTCACCTCAACACACGTGTCTGTCAGTTTTTGTCCCCCAATGTGGCTCGAAGAGCAGGAATCGGAAATACCCTTCTTCTGCCCATCTATCCATCCATCCATCCATCCATCCATCCATCCATCCATCCATCCATCCATCCATCCATCCATCCATCCATCCATCCATCCATCCATCAATCCATCCATTCATCCATCCATCCATCCATCCATCCATCCATCCATCCATCCATCCATCCATCCATCCATCCATGCATCCATGCATCCATCCATCCATCCATGCATCCATCCGTCTGTTCGTCCATCCATCTGTCCATCTGTCCATGTTTGCCATGTGCATGTTAATTCGAAAAACAAGTGATGTAACAACTTATGCTTTGGTGCGTTGCTGAAACTAGGCGTAAGATATATGCTGTTTAAAAAAAAATAAAAATAGGCGTAAGAAAGTTCACTATCAAAAAACTGGGTTGCCACGTCAAAATTTAAGATGGCCTCTGCTGTGTGTATTTGTAAACTGACCACCTCTTCATTTGAGAAAACTACGCTGTTTAGTTTTTATGTTGCTTAAAAGTATAGTTTCCTTAAATGATTGAGGTGGTACCTGGGGTGGCCATAGATTAATCTTTGGTGGTTAAGGCCACCATGGATTAATCTTTGGTGGTTAAGGCCACCAT